TCAGGGATTCAACTACTTTCTGGTTTAGTCTTGGGAGGGTGTTTGTGCCCAGGAATTTATCCATTTCTTCTCGATTTTCTAGTTTACCTGCATATAGGTGTTTGCAGTATTCTCTGATGGTAATTTGTATTTCTGTGAAATCAATGGTGATAACCCCTTTATCATTTTTATTGTATCTTTTTTAAGCTTCTCTCTTTTCTTCTTTATTATCTGGCCAGCAGTCTATTTTGTTAATCTTAAAAAAAAAATAACCAGCTCCTGGATTCATTGATTTTTTTGAAGGGTTTTTCAAGTTTCTATCTCCTTCAGTTCTGCTCTGATCTTAGTTATTTCTTCTGTTAGCTTTTGAATTTGTTTGCTCTTGTTTCTCTAGTTCTTTTCATTGTGATGTTAGGTTGTCAATTTTAGATCTTTCCCACCTTCTCCTGTGTCCATTTAGTGCAATAAATTTCCCTCTAAACACTGCTTTAGCTGTGTCCCAGAGATTCTGATACGTTTTTACTATATTATGGTAAATAAAGTTAATTGTATTTTGGTAATCTTTTGTCTTCCTGGAGAGTAGGCAGGGGTTAGTTAGGATTAAGTGAAATCGCCTTGTCTGAGCAGAATTTATACAATGTAAAAATGTATTGCCTCTTTAATGATAAAAGAAATAATTTCTGCTGATGTCATTTTTCATGCCTTTTCAAGAAACTATATGGAGCTAAAATATTAAAATAACTTATTTTCAAGTAGAATACCATATTCTGAATTATAGTTGAGTACCTCGTTACTGTCAATAAATGAATACTCTCAAAAGTTCTGGTAGTTTGAGTGAAGGTAATAATTAGGAATGTCATTCGTTTGTTTAATGAAAATGTCAATAATGGCAAAGAAAGCATTTTAATTGTTTTCCTGTGGACAAGAAGTTTCCTTTGTATTAGTTTCTCAACCTTTCATTATTCAATAAACGATAACTGTAGAATAAATCAGGCAAAGTCACTAGGCTGGCATCAATCCCTGAATCTGATTATTGAGAGTCAATTCTTCCTGAATACTTTCAGATTACCATTAAGTCCAATCTTTCTGAGGAAAGACCACTGGCAAACTTGGTTGTAGTATGGTTGAATCACAAATATGTCTTGGAAGATGGGATAGTACCTTGCTGAAGACACATCTCCCCTATAAACATTTGCTAATATCACAGAATAAAGGACTCTTCCTCACCAGAGGAGAGGATTGGTCAATGTACCAGCCAAACTCCAAGTGTTACTGTTTTTTGAGTCCATGGTGTAATACTTCCTGTGTTTGTGCAGGATAACATTAGGCTCTCATAGCTTCCCCAGTGCTAAGATGCTCTGTAAACATTCAAGTATCTGTTTTCTAATCTAGACACTTTTTGTTTATTGCCAGAATAGCATCTATCTGTCTATCTATCTATCTATGTATTTATCTACCTACCTACCTACCTACCTACCCACCTATCTATCACTATGGCAGACTGACTTTTTACCTTATAAATGGAGTAGGTATTTAGACTTAATTTTAGACTTAATACAGATATCATTCCTTTATTAGCCTGTATCTATTTTGTCATATTAGTCTCTATCTATTTTGCCATGTTGATGTTTGTAATGATGAGAAACCAGAATCATTTTTATGGTATCAGATGTCAAAATATTCTGTATATCATGTGTTCTTTACAATACATTAAAAAAAGAGATCCTAGTAATAATCTGTGTATCGTATGGAGTTCTTTACACACACATACTTGAAGGACAGTTGAGATACAGATAAAAGCATTTCCCTGGTGGTAGTGGTAGGTTTGAATTTCTTTGAAACATACCAAGATAAAGTGATGTTATGCAAAGTACATGGTGACATGGGTACAGCAGGGTGTCAGCTAGGAGCAGACTAGATTCATCTTGACAGCAGACCTAGTGGACTAGTGATCTCTGAGGCCCTTTATGTGCCTGAGTAGATCTATGCAAGTTTTCTGGCTAAAGGAAGAAGGTGGTGTGTGCATGTGTGTGTGTGTGTGTGTGTGTGTGTGTGCATGCCTATGTATGCAAGGGTGCTGGAAAGAGACCAAGATAAGCAAGAAAGTTGGGGGAATTTAGAATATGAAAAAATAACCTATATCTTGCTTCTTGTTTGCCACAATTACTATCACAGCCTCTGGAAGATGCAATGGTTAATAATTGCTGCTGATTCTTTGATATGGCTATTCCTTGAGACAGTGTGGAGTCAGCTCAAGTAAAGACAAGTCCTAGAAAAGGACTTTTATTTTTCTTAAGGAAGATTCCTAACAGCTACATAGTGGTAATGCTGTAGAAATGGAGTTTTTTGAAGAGTTCCAAACCCAGTGTCCCCTCTCTGGTGGTTGCAAAGTTGCTTTTCCTCACAACTACTGTGATTGCAAGGCTGCTGGTCTTCAAGGCTGTCATGGAGCTGAGGAGAATTGCTATGGGACAATTCAAAACATCACAAAGCTCACATTCTTATCAAGATTTAGTCATTTTTAAAGACTTCTTTGTAATTAGTTTTTAGAGTTCTGCAAAAGTTGATTCTGACAAATCTTGCTAGTGGTCACTGCTTTTATGCTGAAATAGATTTTCAGAGGTACTTAGCCTGCCATATCTAACTGTTGGTCTTGGCAAATTATTTAATCTCCTTTTTCTCAATTTTCTAATTATTAAAACAAGTATAGTAACATGCTTCAGAGAATTGTTGTGAGGCTTAAGAAAGATCATTCAAGAAAAGCACTTAGAATAGTATGTAATGAATATTCAACCAACACCGGCTGTCAGTATTAGTAGATTCATTTTAAATATGTAAGTTTAGATATCAACACACCAGCCCTGTATTTTTTCTTTAAATTTTGGTTTTATATTCACCTTTTATTTTTCAGAATTGGTTTATCTAGCTACAAAGTTTTACAAATTCTATTCCACAGTGTTTCAGACCATAGTAGTTGATAATGTTTTACATTCCATTACACTGACTATTCCTAAAGCTTTTTGGAACAGTAACAGATGGCCAGGCTGTTGAATTCCACTTACTGTTCAAACATGTAGACTGGAACAGGGTAATTTTGCTTTCTGTTACCTGAGAAAAATAAGAATGCCACATTTATTTACATCCTTTTATCAGTGTGGCTTATAAAATTTCACTTTTTGAAAGAATTGTCCGAGGATACAAATAAGAAAGTGCAAAATATCTTATTGAATACCTATAGCTATCAAAGGCATTAATGTTTTATGAAATATTTAAATTTGTAATAATAAATAAAGCTCCTTCCTAAATAGATCTCCAACTAAGAGAGAGTGTGTGAGAAGATAAGATATTTTCAGGGCCTTAAATTTCAGCAAACTTGAGCCTGTCAGAGTAAGAAAATGGGAATATTGTAAATTAATATAATATGTAATTACAATGACTAATTTTGAATATTTAACAATAATTATGAAAAATGGTAGTTGTTTGCCCTCTGTTCTAAATGACATTAATATTATTTAAAATAATATTAAGCATAGTATTCACATAATGAGTTACTTCATTAAAGGTATTCTTAGTTTTTTGTCTGTATTTGTAGAATTCTTAAGGCTCTTAATTTTGAATCAGCAGAAAATATGGTTATCCTGGTTCACCAGTTGTTCTTTAACTTTAAAAGTGAACTGAAATATTTTAATTATTATATGTTTATAATTCTTTCATATGGTAAAGATGAAAACAAATAAGATCTAAAGAAGAGAAATATACTCCACACAAAACTTTCTAATTAAATGCATCAATCTGGACAAAGTTTTCTTTCTTAAGGACCAAAATTTCAATTCAGTTTTATATAATTGTTCCTGTATACCATAGATATCAAATAGAAAGATAGACAAATAGACTGTTGACAGGTAGGTGATAGATAAATAGATAAAGATGGATGGATAGATGATAGATAGATAGATGAAAGGTAGATAGGTAGATAATAGAATAGGTAAGTAGACAATAGATTAGGTAGGTAATGATAGGTGGGTAGGTAGACAAATAGATGATAGGTAATGTAATGGTTACTGCCGAGTTTAAAATGAGGAAACTGAGGTCAGTATAAGAACAATCAGATGCCAATTTATTTATCTCCCGGGCAAGGTTCTGTGGTCCTAAGGAAAGGGGGACCAGAGAAGTCATGCTTGACTTCTCAGGGCAGGGGGTTTTATGGGGGTTAGAGGGGGGCTGGCCTAGGATACATGGGGTGGGCTGCCATTGGGTAAAACTTGGTGGGATTTCTTCAATTTTCACAGGTTCAGATGTGTAGTTTAGTGCTGAGAGCGCACAGTTTAGTGCTGAGGTTCAAATGCATAGCTTGGTGCTAAGAGTACATAGTCTAGTGCTGAATATAGACCTAGGGGCAGAATGCAGAAGTGGGCGAGGGGAGCCCACATGGAGGAGCCAGATGCTGAGTAATGTGTTCTGCCTGATAAACTGTTATCAGGCATAGAGAGGGGTGGGTGTTGTTCATCCGGCTCTTAGCAAGGCTATTGGCCTCACAGGTAAGTAGATAGATAAGTAGGTAGGTACCTTGGGTAAAAAGACATAGATATAGTTAGTGTGACTGCCTTTGCTATTTGAAGATTTGGAATTAGAATGCCTGTATAGGTAAACCTCATGAAAGTTAGGGCTCTTTCAGTTGTTGGAGACAGAAATCTCCTCTCAAACAGGCCTAAGTTTTTTTAAAAAGTACATATGTGTACCTATAATCTGAGAAGTCCAGGAGTTGAGCTCTTTCAGAATTGCTGGTTTAAAGAGCTCATCAAAAGACTCCACCTCAGCTCTACCTCATCTGGGTAGTTCCATTCACAGTTCCATTACAGGACCCAGTATCTTCAGAACCGTGTTATTAAGAAACAAAAGAAACATTTCTGCTTCAGCAATGACTCAAACAGAAGCCACAGAACTGGGTTTTGTTTCCCCCAATTGACCTGTTGGGTAATGTATGAATCCCTGAATTATGTCTGTGTATGCATGTCCCACAGGATGTTATATGCTGATGGACCAGTCAAGATTACATGTTCTGCTCTGGAGATAGGTATGTACTTCATTCAGTTCACATGGACTAAAAAGCAAGAGGGATGTCACTTAAATGAGAGTTTGGACTTTGCTGGAAGAAGGGGAAATGCAAATAGGGGAGATAATATTTTTTAATACTTTAAGTTCTGGGATACATGTGCAGAGCATGGAGGTTTGTTACATAGGTATACACATGCCATGGTGGTTTGCCACACCCATCAACCTGTCATCTACATTAGGTATTTCTCCTAATGCTATCCCTCCCCTAGACTCCCACCCCCAACATGTCCCAGTGTGTGATGTTCCCTTCCCTGTGTCCATGCGTTCTCATTGTTCAACTCCCACTTGTGAGTGAGAACATGTGGTGTTTGGTTTTTCTGCTGAGAATGATGGTTTCCAGCCTGACTCATGTACCTGCTAAGGACATGAACTCATCCTTTTTATGGCTGCATAGTATTCCTTGGTGTATATGTGCCACATTTTCTTCATACAGTCTGTCATTGATGGGCATTTGGGTTGATTCCAAATCTTTGCTATTGTGAACAGTGCTACAATAAACATACATGTGCATGTGTCTTTATAGTAAGAATGATTTATAATCCTTTGCATATATACCCAGTAATGGGATTGCTGGGTCAAATGATCCTTGAGGAATCACCACACTGTCTTCCACAACAGTTGAACTCTAATTTACACTCCCACCAACAGTGTAAAAGCATTCTATTTCTCTACATCCTCTCCAGCATCTGTTTTTTTCCTCACTTTTTGATGATCATCGCTCTGACAAGATGATATCTCATTGTGGTTTTTATTTGTATTTCTCTACTGACCAGTGATGATGAGGTTTTTTTCATGTTTGGTGGCCACTTAAATGTCTTCTTTGGAGAAGTGTCTGTTTATATCCTTTGCCCATGTTTGGATGGGGTTGTTTCTTTCTTGTGTAAATTTGTTTAAATTCTTTGTAGATTCTCAATATTAGCCCTTTGTCAGATGAATAGATTGCAAAAATTTTCTCCCAATGAGTAGGTTGCCTGTCCACTCTGATGATCGTTTCTTTTGCTGTCCACAAGCTCTTTAGTTTAATGAGATCCTATTTGTCAATTTGGGCTTTTGTTGCCATTGCTTTTGGTGTTTTAGTCATGAAGTCCTTGCCTATGCCTATGTCCTGAATGGTATAGCCTAGGTTTTCTTCTAGGGTTTTTATGGTTTTAGGTCTTACATTTAAGTCTTTAATCTATCTTGAGTTAATTTTTGTACAAGGTGTAAGGAAGGGGTCCAGTTTCAGTTTTCTGCATATCGCTAGCCAGTTTTCCCAACAGCATTTATTAAATAGGGAATTCTTTCCCCATTGCTTGTTTTTGTCAGGTTTGTCAAAGATTGGTTGGTTGTAGATGTGTGGCATTATTTCTGAGGCCTCTGTTTTGTTCCATTGGTCTATATATATGCTTTGGTACCAGTACCATGTTGTTTTAGTTACTGTAGCTTTACAGTATCATTTGAAGTCAGGTAGCATGATGCCACCAACTTTGTTCTTTTTGCTTAGTATTGTCTTGGCTATCTGGGGTCTTTTTTAGTTTCATATCAAATTTAAAGTTGTTTTTTTCTCGTTCTGTGAAAAAGTCAATGGTACCTTGATGGGGATAGCATTGAATCTGTAAATTACTTTGGGCAGTATGGCCATTTTCACAATATTGATTCTTCCTGGTTATGAGCATGAAAGAGGAGGTGGAGTGGCCGAATAGGAACAGCTCCAGTCTGCAGCTCCCAGCGAGATCAATGCAGAAGGAGGGTGATTTCTGCATTCACAATTGAGGTAACAGGGTCATCTTATTGGGACTGGTTGGATAGTGGATGCAGCCCACAAATGCTGAGCCAAAGCAGGGTGGGGTGTTGCCTCACCCAGAAAATGCAGAGGGTTGGGGAACTTCCTCCCCTAGCAAAGGGAAGTTATGAGGGACTGTGCTGTGGGAAACAGTACATTCCAGCCTGGATACAACCCTTTTCCCACAGTCTTTGCAACCCGCAGACTAGTAGATTACCTCGGGGCCCTGGTTTTCAAGCACAAAACTGAGTTGTCCTTTGGGCAGACACCAAGCTAGCTGCAAAAGTTGTCTTTTTTTTTTTTTGTACCCATCTGGTACCTGGAAAGCCAAAGACAGAATCGTTCACTCCCCTGAAAAGGGGACTGAAGCCAGGGAGCCAAGTGATCTAGCTCAGTGGATTCCCACCTCCATGGAGCCCAGCAAGCTAAGATCCACTGGCTTGAAATTCTCTTGAAATTCTTGCTGCCAGCACAGCAGTCTGAAGTCAACCTGGGATGCCCCAGCTTCTTGGAGGGGGTGGGGCATCCATCATTACTGAGGCTTGAGTAGGCAGTTTTCCCTTCTCGGTGTAAACAAAACTGCTGGGAAGTTCAAACTGAGTGTAGCCCACCACAGCTCAGCAAACTGCTGTAGCCAGACAGCCTCTCTAGATTCCTTCTCTCTGGGCAGAGCATATTATCGGTGCAGCTTCAGCAGACTTAAATGTTCCTGCCAGTCAGCTCTGAAGAGAGCAGTAGATTTCCCAGCACAGTGCTCGAGCTCTGCTAAGGGACAGACTGCCTCCTCAAGTGGGACTCTGATCCCCATGCCTCCTGACTGGGAAACACCTCCCAGCCGGGGTGGACAGACACTGCACACAGGAGAGCTCCAGCTGGCATCTGGCAGGTGCCCCTCTGGGACAAAGCTTACAGAGGAAGAAACAGGCAGCAATCTTTGCTCTTTGGCAGCCTCTGCTGGTGACACCCAGGCAAACAGGCTCTGAAGTAGACCTCCAGCAAACTCCAGTAGACCTGCAGCAGAGGGGCCCAACTGTTAGGAAAACTAACAAACAAAAGGGAATAGCATCAACATCAACAGAAAGGACATCCACATAGAAAACCATCTGAAGGTCTCAAATATCCAAGACCAAAGGTAGATTAAATCCATGAAGATGAGGGGAAAAAAACAGTGCAAAAAGGCTAAAAATTCCAAAAACCAGAAAGCCTCTCCTTATCTAAAGGATCACAACCTCCTCGCCAGCAAGGGAACAAATTAGACAGAGAATGAGTTTGATGAATTGACAGAAGTAGGCTTCAGAAGGTGGGTAATAACAGACTCTGCCGAGCTAAAGGAGCATGTTCTAACCCAATGCAAAGAAGCTAAGAATCTTGAAAAAGGTTAGAGGAATTGCTAACTAGAATAACCAGTTTAGAGAAGAACATAAGTTACCCGATGGAGCTGAAAAACATAGCATGAGAACTTTGTGAAGCATATACAAGTATCAATAGCTGAATCAATTAAGCAGAAGAAAGGATATCAGAGATTTTAAGAACAACTTAATAAAATAAAGCATAAAGACAAGATTAGAGAACAAAGAATAAAAAGGAATGAACAAAGCCTTGAAGAAATATGGGACTATGTGAAAAGACCAAACCTACGTTTGATTGGTGTACCTGAAAATGACAGGGAGTAAGGAACCACGCTGGAAAACAGTCTTCGGGATGTTATCCAGGAGAACTTCCCCAACCTAGGAAGGCAGGCAAACATGCAAATTCAGGAAATATGGAAAACACCACAGAGATACTCCTTGAGAAGGGGAACTCCAAGACACATAATTGTCAGATTCACCAAGGTTGAAATGAAGGAAAAAGTGTTAAGGGCAGCCAGAGAGAAAGGTCAAGTTAACCACAAAGGGAAGCCCATCAGACTAACAGCAGATCTCTTGGCAGAAAACCTACAAGCCAGAAGAGACTGGTGCCAATTTTCAACATTCTTAAGGAAAATAATTTTCAACCTAGAATTTCATATCCAGCCAAAATAATTCTTTACAGACAAGCGAATGCTGAGAGGTTTTGTCAGCACCAGTACCCCCTAACAAGAGCTCCTGAAGGAAGCACTAAATATGGAAAGGAAAAACTGGTACCAGCCACTGCAAAAACATACCAAATTGTAAAGACCATTGACAGTATGAAGAAACTGCATCAACTAATGGGCAAAATAACCAGCTAGCATTATGATAGCAGGATCAAAATCACACATAACAATATTAACCTTAAATGTAAATGGGCTAAATGCCCCAAGTAAAAGACACGGACTGGCAAATTGAAAAATGAGTCAAGACCCATCAGTGTGCTGCATTCAGGAGACCCATTTCACATGCAAAGACACACATAGGCTCAAAATAAAGAGATAGAGCAAGATTTACCAAGAAAATGGAAGGCAGAAAAGAAAGGGGGGAATTGCAATCCTAGTCTCTGATAAAACAGACTTTAAACCAACCAAAATCACAAAAGACAAGTGCATTACATAATGATAAAGGGATCAATGCAACAAGAAGAGCTAACTATACTAAATATACATGTACCTAATGCAGGAGCACCCAGATTCATAAAGCAAGTTCTTGGAGACCTACAAAGAGACTTAGACTCCCACACAATAAATAGTGGGAGAGTTTAATGCCCCACTGTCAATATTAGACAGAGTAATGAGACAGAAAATTAACAAGTTTATTCAGAGGAGATACATTTTTGATGGAAAAGTTATCATAGGAGAAGTATACTTTTAGAGCTGCTCCTTATGAAACAGAAATTTTTTAACTATTAGGAAAATTGAAGCTATATAAAACAGTATAATTAGAACATTATCTTTACAGGTGGTCTCATTTAAATGACTCTTACTGGTGGAGCAACTAAAGGCCAGAGAGGTCATGAAATGTTTTCTATATTATGCAGCTTTAACTAATTTGATTTGCAGATTGACAAGCTCCACTATTTTTGATAAAAAGGGATTTTGAGCTTCAATTCATACCCATATTATAGCACTTACTACACAACATTAGAAATACGGGTTTTCACTGGAGCTCTTTTAATCAGAGAGGGTATCTTATTCTGTGGAATGTAGTATATTTTTCAGTGACTTAAAATTTTATTTGGTAAATTAATGAGCAAAATAAAATGAGTGATGATTAACTCCATAGGATTGGCAAATCCAGAAGACTATGTTAATCTAATCATCTCTTCCCCAAAACTGACTTGAAAATGCTACTTGTATGTCTCTGTCTCTGGAAGATAATGCATAAATAAATTCAAACTTGATGTGAAGTCACTGAGAGATTTGAGGATGGTGTGACGTTAAGGGGCATGTATCTAAACTGAGACTCTATTTGAAGATATAGTTTATCATTGTTTAATGCCTAAAGAATGATCAGTCAGGGAGAAGGGCTTTTAATTCCTTCTGAAAGATGATAAAGTCAAAAGTAAGTGAGGTCAGGCACTTAGAGGAATATGTTGAACCCTGAATGTGCTCAGTAACTATCTTTTTGATGAACTGACTGATCCTCACATGTAGGCAGTCTGCAGTTTCAGTTTGCTGGAGAAATTTTTCTTCATGGAGGCTCTGCCTTGTTTCTCAGGAGAGAGAGAATGTTGTAATAACTTAGTATGTGCCTCCTGCAGATGTAACACATGAAGTTGCTCCTGAATTAGATGAATCTTCTTCTGTGCAATATAATAAAATTAGCATCATAAAATGAAAGCTTGGGTTCAAGCAAATTGATAGATTTTATTTCTTTATTCTCCAATTTCTTCCATTTTGTTAAAAAATTTTTTCTACTTGAGTGACTTTTAGTACTAGACTTTAATAAACAATATAGTCAGGCTGGATGAAGTACTTACTGTCATATATAACTTACTAAAAATAAAATACAAAACTGCACACATAAGGAAAATGAAACATTACACTCTGGGGACTTCCTTTTAATGAACATATGGCTTATATATGACAAAAAAGAAAAAAAATCGCTGTTGTGGCATACTGTAGGATGTCTGCCTGCTCTAAATGGGCTGGCAAATTTTAAAAAATTAAACATGAGAAATGTTCAAATTTATCCAATAAGTAGACTCCCTGAAAGAGGTATCGTCTATAATCACATTAAATGTAAATGGATAAACACTTCAATAAAAGGCAGAAATTGTTAGACTGAATAAAAGAAATTGAGACCCAACTACACATTGTCTACAGATAATGTATTTTAATTATAAAAACACATGTTGACAGTAAAAGAATGGAAACAGATGTTCGTTGATTATATATATAAATCTACCATTGAGAAGGAGGAAAACTAGCTCATTTAAAAAAATCCAGTTGAGTTCCAAATTCATTTTCTATATTTTGTGCTATAGGGAAGATTATCTGAAGACATCTTTCTTTTATATTTGCTTCTGTTTGTTAGATAGAACTGACTGATTTGCTACATTTGAGCATGGGTTTTGAAATATACATTCATACATATAATTATTTATTCACTCAATAATTCCTCCAGCATTTGCTGAAAAATGCCTTCAGCACTGAGAATGCATTGAGATTTCTACATTCATTTTAGGTGTATCTTCATTTAACAAAATTCTGGAAACTAACCCAGTTGTGTTTTTGCATTTGTACATTTGTCAAGTTCCAACTTTTGTGATCGTAAGTAGAACAGCATTCCTACAATCTTGATTGTGCAAAGAGTAGATTCTTGTGATTCATATGTTGAGGAGCCTATTCACCCCTCTGGAAACAATTATAGAATTCTGGATGTCTTCGGCCTTTCCACATGTACTCTAAAATGAAAAAGCGATCTTTAGCAAATTCTATTCAGAGAACCCAAGTGGTGTTTTAAAAGTAGTAAACAAATAACCACTCTTTTTATCATGTAAATAATTCTTAATTGAATATGCAAGCCTGGAAGAATGTATAGATAACCAAGCCTAGCTCAAGCACAGTGGTATTCATCCATCATCTGGTAAGCAGCCCTTGCTTTCCAGCTCTCAGTCCAGCACTAAAAACAGTTTTCATAATCTTAAAGAGTAATTAGCATGCTAATCCCAGATAGCCAGAATTGTCTTTTTAATTAACAATAGAATTGTTTGAATAAAGATTTAGTCCTTATTAGGCTATCTAGTCATACGACAAATCTTTTCTCGGTCTTATATTTTCAGCCCTGGAAATTTTCATTGAAAAATGTGTTTTCCTGAATGTAATATCTCAGGTATTATTATGAAGAATGGCCTATATATAAAAGTGGCATAATATTATTTGAAACATCTCTGCCACAAATTGTAAATCAATATAGTAAACCTAAAGCAACCTCTAAAAATAGATAAATGAGGTAAAGCTAATAAGATAATTGTATAGACAAAGCAAAATCTGAAAATATTTGCAATTAATGCAAGGCAGGAAATAAGTAAAAAAGTAAAAATGAAACAAGCAGAAAAAAAACCAAGGTGTTAAATTTAAACTTAAACACATTAATAACCACTTTATTAATGGGTAAATACTCCAATTTAAAAGCAGAAATTTTCAATATAAGTAAAAAATACTCAATTGTATGCTGAATGCTGCCTACAGAAAGTGTATTGTAAAAATAAAAATGCAGAAAGGTTAAAAGTGAAAGAATGAGAAAAGATATATAATTGAAACATTATTCAAAAGAAAGCTGGAGACGCTATATAACAGACTTTAGGGCAAGAAATATTAAGATATAAAGAGGGAAATTTTGTAACAATAATGATCAATTCATCAAGAAGATATCACACTTCTTATATGTGTATGCAAATGTTAAAATACATGAAATAAAAACATTAATGTAAAAAGATAAATATGGAAATCCACAATTGTAGTTGAAAATTTCAATTTTCTCTAACAGTAATTGATAGAGAAAGTTTTTAAAAAGTTAGCTCATGGAATAAGTGAACAAACTGTCATCTGAATTGACCTAAGTGATTTTATAGAACACTGCATTCTAAAAGAATTTCTAAAAAAAAAAAAAAACGCATTCCTCACAAATAAAAGAAAATTCACCAAGACGTATAGCCAATATCTGTGTTAGTTATCTATTGTTGCATAACAAATTTTACCGAACTTAATAAGTAAAAACAACAAACATTCATTATGGCACAGTTTCTGTGAGTCAAGAATCTGGGAGCAGCTTAACTGGGTGGTTCTGGCTATGGGTCTTTTATGATGCTACTGCAGTTAAGATATCAGCCGGGGCTACACTCATCAAAATTGCTGACTCAGAGGGTTTCCACTTTCAAGGTCATTCACCTGCCTTGGGGCAGCTCCAGATGCTCTGCTCCAAGGTCAGTCACATGAGCCTCTGCACGGAACAGTCACCCAAAATGGCAACTGGCTTGCTCCCCCACCAACCCGCGAGTGAGAGGCCCAAGAAAGAGTATCTAAGACAGAAGCTGTAGTCATTTTATAGCCTAATTTCAGAAGTGAGATTCCAGCACATCTGCCTTATTCTATTTCCTAGAACTATTCGCTAAATGCAGCCTACAATCAAAGTCAGGGGTTTCACAAGGACCTGAATGCAGGAACCAGTGATTACTGGTGGATCATCTTAAAAGCTGCCTACCACAGAATATATGCTGGAACATAAAAAAGTCTTGAAAAATTTAGAAGCATAGACAAATTATGGAGGTGCATTCATTGGCAACAATAGAATTGATTAGAAATAAATGACAAAAAGTTATACAGAAAAATCCCCTGTTATTTGGCATTTGTTCATATACTTTTTAAAAATGCATGGGTCAAAGACAAAAAATACAAAGAAAATTAGAAAATAATTTAAACCAATTGAAAAGAAAACAATATTCTACTGAAAATGAAAACAAAAATGTCAGAGATACATATATCTGGCAAAGTGCTTGAATTTGTTATATACTTAATAAACTCTTGACAATAAGACAAACACAATTTAAAAGTGAGAGAAAGATTTGACCAGTCATTTTACAAAAAGAACGTAAATGACTCTCAAAAGCATTATGCTTTGCCACAGAAGCCAGATATTAAAGAGCAAATACTGTATAATTTCATTCATACTGAATTATAGAAAGGCAAAACAGAAGATCATTTGTTGCCAGGGGTGAAGAATATTAACTGCAAAAAAATGCATGAAATAATTTTTGGGGGTGATGGGAAAAAATTCAGGGAATAAGATCAAACCCAGAGTGCTGCCAGTAGAATTTCTGGCCACAGGCTCACGATCAAACTAAAGCTATGGTTGTAATTTGGTTGTGATTTCAGGAAATTGTGGAAGAGGGTCTCATTTTTTCTCTCAGTAGAAAATGCTTCTAAGAATTTTAAGGACAAGATTCTGACTCTCTCTGCTGTGAGCTTCTGCATCTTCACAAGTAACCCCAAATAGAGAAAGACTCCACTCAGAGAAATAGGTGGATGTCACTTTTGTCTAATGAATTTGATTATAATTTGTACATAGTCCACATATTTTAAAAGGAATTATAATGGCTTGTACTGAAAGGAACAGATACTGCTCAAAACATAAAAAGGCTTTTGAGTCCCCAACTTCCGATGGGCAGGAAGCAGGCTAAGGGCACTACTCAGCTGCAAACGTGGGTCATTTCTTAAGGAACAGAAGGATGACTCAGAGGGTAGTGACTAGAGTTCATAGTGAGTGGCCAGGCGTGTGTGACCACCCCAGGAACATATTTGGGTCCCAGTCAACATATACCCTACCTTCTGAGCCAGGTGAAATGGTAGCTTGTTTCTACTGGATCTCAGAATTTTGTCATCCCAGTGACTGCAATGTTGTCACTGCAATGCAGGACTCATATTGTCCTGCCTCTTTTTAAGTGGAGGTATGTATTGTGGCTCCCTAGATCATGTCTCCTCATTGTAAGGTGGAAATGTGAGGGCATGTAGCTTGTTTCTTTATTTGATGGTCTTCTGATCAAGAGGAAGTTCCACCCTAATCCGACTAGCCTCATCCTATTTGCTTTAGAATCTAGTTGCTAAATACAGCAGCTTTTCTTGATTTACACGATGAGATTCTGAACTTAAAGTATAATACCGATGGTGATGAGACTTTGGGGATTTAGGGAGATTGGTAAGTGTATTTTGAAAGTGAGAGGAAAATGCATCATCCTTGGCTAGAGGACTAAGTGTGGCAGTTACTCTCCCAAAATGGCCCCAGTGAACCTCTTTTGGTCTCAGTTCTACCATAGTAGATATGTACTATCTCTGTGATTTGCTTTAAGCAATTGGATGTCGTACAAGTGACTCTGGGCCAGTTTCTGGTGTAAGCCATAAGAAGGCCTGGTAGCTTCTGCTTTGCTTTTTAGGATAACCCCATGACGCTGTATGAAAATGTTGACTATTTTGTTGGAGAGTCGAGTTGGAGATGCAGTTGTCACAGCATCCCAGCAGCTGAGCTGAGATACTCAGCTTTCTGCACAAAGTGCCAGGCATGTAGTGAGACATCTTGGATGTTACAGACCCAGTTAGCATCTCGGCCCATGGAGCTGGGCCTAGTTGATTCACAAAATAGTGGAGATGATAAAATGATGTTTTTTTAAGCTACTAAGTTTTGGGGTGATTTGTTATTCAGCCATAGAATACTGGGCCTCTAATATAAGTCACTCACTATATAAGAACATAAGGTTCTATTAAATATAAATGAAAAAGTTTGCTAATTTTGATTTCCTCACTTTGAATTTTACTAATCTTAAATATTTTTCTCTGACATAAATTTTATTGGTAGCCACCCATATTAGAGCTTTGTACATTGTTGTTGTATTGATTACTATTCTTTAGGTTTTTTTGGCTTCTTTATTAAGGTTGTGTTTTTCAAAGTTAAGTGACAGTTTAAGCCATTTATAGATCTTGGCAGGAAAGATGATACCAGATGTCACATATGTGATGAAAATACCCATAATCTTCTTGTTGTCATGAAAATATATTTTTAAAATCCTTTAGCAGAAGTTTAGATATGTACTGATATATCTGTCATAGGGAAACAGATAATTTTTAAGATACATAAAGTATTTTTAAGATTTCTAAACATTTTTCGGTGTTCTTTTAATGGTGAAAATTGGATAAAAAGGCTTAAATACGTTCTAAAAATGTAAATTCTTCTTGTGGAAGTTTCTAGCATTAGAACCTGGCATATTAGCCAAGATGAAATATATCTGGAGTCTTTGTGATGATCAAAAAGAGTGACTCTTTAATAAGCTGATACTCCAAAAACTTTCTGATAGGTCTCAATGCTTCCACATCGGTTTAATTATATGAGACTATTATAAAGAGCTACATTCTTTGTCTTATTCCCCAAGGAAGTACCTTCCAGGGCATAATTCTGTTCTCTTATCAGCAAAATCTTGGGATTACCTCTAGCTTCTTAATTATTTTTCTATTCTCAAAATCATGCAAAAAGTTACTTAGAAGCTTTAGGTACTTGGTTTGAGTCAGCATATCTCTGTATGCATACAGACACTGCATTCTGGAACTTATCCAGTGCTATCTAGTTGATTTAACCTAACTTCATTTTTATGTTAAGTAGGTCATGACTGGCAGAGCCAAGAGAAATCTAATAAACAAATGTTAACTTTCCATAGAGTAGGAATTTCTTCAAGACTGAGCTGCCCCCCAAATGCCATCAAAATTAAAAAAAAAAATCTCTAAATTATTCACCAGAATTTCTTACATTTTCAGACTTCTCTGGGAGTATAATCATCATAATAATATTGGATTTGAAAGATCCTACTTTTCTTTTAAGGGAAGAGCCATCAGGATTAGAATCTGTTGGCAAGTATGCCTACTAAATAGGTTGAGTGTGTCGTCTTTGGCAAGACAGAAACAAGAAGATATGTGAGCGATTCCGGCTGTACAAAAATAAAGTATCACATCCAAGTTCTTTCTAAAGGATAACACCAAGACCTTGATTTTTAAGCAATTAAATTGGAATAAAAACACTTTTTTAGCTCAGATACTAAACTATTCCTTAAAAATTCTTAGTGAACAGATGAACACTCTGGAAAATAGACCAATTATCCTGTTTCTCCATTGTATGTTGAGAAGAAACACAATAAAAAGAAAATTTATAGAAATCTAAATGACCAATAAATGTACAAAGCCCTGCCTAATCTCACTAAAAGTCAAGAATATGCAACATTTTAAATAAGATATTTTAATTCACCAGGGGTGAAAATGAACAAAAACACTTTTAATTAAGCAATCAGAAAGTATGAAAAAAAATTATATTGTGCTTTGTATGTGTACTTTTGAGCTAGCAATTCCACTTAACATTATCTGTCTTATAAAAAAAATACCCATATGTGCACTCATGAGACTAAACATTGTTGCACTATTTCACAAAATGGGCACATGGAACCAATCTAGGTATCTATTAATAGGAGGATGATTAAATAAATGAGAAAAATCTATACTATAAAGCATTTTAGAAGAATACATTAAAGACAGATTTAGATATATTGAAGAAAAGGTGACCAAGATATTAAGTAAAAAAGCAAGTTGCAAAACAAAATACTGTCTTTTTTATTTTTTTATTATTATTAGAACCTGCAGCTATATTACATAGGTATACACGTGCCATGGTGGTTTGCTGCACCCATCACCCCATCATCTACATTAGGCATTTCTCTTAATGCTATCCCTCCCCTAGCCATACATTTCCATATGATTATATATGCCTTATGATACTTGTATATGATATGATGTACATGTACCATACTGATTGCAGTAACCATTGGGGAAGGAAGTGGAAGATATAGTGGGGCAAGGGCTATACATATAATAACTATAATTATGGAGAAGTCAAAAGGATGGGGGAAAATCCATGGTGTAACTTGAAATAATCTCATCATTGGTTTTAAGCAATCAATGCTTAAGTGAATTGGAATTAATTATTTTCACAGTTCTAACTTCCAACATGACGTTTGTATTTGGCATAGAATATAAAGGTAACTTTTAAGGGCCTTTGTCTAATGAACCAGAAATAAAACTTTCCTAAATCAAAACAACAAGCATGATTGGCTGTAGAGAAGAATGCCGACTGCTTAAGCTTTGTGACTTTTAGCATGTTGCCTCATCTGTATCACTCTCTCTTCACTTATAAATTGAGGGATGAAATGTATTTAGTAAGTTCCTAGGAAAAAGCAAAGAACATATTGTTGGACAACATTTCATACACTTCCAAGCAAGATCCACAAAAAAACAAACTGATCTATTTTCATTTGTTCACAATAAATACACCAATCTTAGAAGTTTAAAGCAACTCTTTCCATGACTGACTAGAACAATGTGAAGAAAGCTCAGGAGCACCAATTCAAATGACACATAATTAAATTGCATCCTAAAAATATTTGATGGTAATCTGTTTCTTTCCTCATCACGTCTTTCATTTGAAGTGTGGATTTAAGAAATAAAAATATGGACCCAAGTATAATTAATGTTTTCATATTCCTGCAGAGTCCAAAGTTGACCAGAACACAGACAGCCAGCTAGCAAAAGAAGTTTGCAAAGTAAATTGGAAATGAACATTGTCTTTTGGTGACGTGTTTGAAACACTGCAACATTTGCTTTATAGATTGAGTTCAACATTATGTTGTCTCAAGTTGTAAGATCTTCAGTGTCGATCTTCAGGATAAACAAGGAAGATTGATTATGTGTACTAAGAGCTAGGAACGGGGATGCCAAAGGGATTAGAAGCTGTTAATAGAAAGCAAAGCCAACATTTAAAAGGTGATAATTTTGCATACATCATCCAGCTACATCAAGGTAACTGTACAAATGATGAGAGTAACTTGGGAACTTTTATTTATAAATATTTTAATTTTTGGAAAATATTAAATATCCGATCTAAATAATTGTCTGAATGCATGAAATAAGTCAGCTAATTGTGCTCTGTGATTTCAATAACCTGAATTTTAAAAATATAATTAATAATATTTGAAGGTCTGTTTTACACTTTGCCTTTATTGTTTTATAAAAAAAATTTTCCTCTTTTTTTTGAGGAAAAGGCATACATATTTTAAAAGGAAGAAATGATTAGCATCTCTATTCTTTTGTTTTTGTTGCAAAATACGGTTTCTTTTTAGGTAAGCCAACTCTCCCTTCAGATTAGAAAACTGATGATGAAGCAAAAATCTTTACACTTTGAAGTCAGAAGGAACAGCTTGCAGGGTTGACAGAGGCAAGGGGAGGGGAATGTGCTTGGAGTTATAAAGAATCCAGAAACACAGCATGAAATTTAAGTTAGCTAGAAGGGAGGGAAGCTGAATCCCTGAAATTCAAATAATGTTAGTTAACATTTATTTTACTCTGTAAGTACACGTCTTCAATTAAAGAAGTATCATGTTGTTCATTAATTTATAATCTGTGTGAATTAAAATTTATTAAATATCTAGGCTTAGAAGTAAATTGTGTGTTTGTGTGCATGTGGGTGTATAGTTTAGAGAAAGTGATTGTAAGAAAGCAGCACATGTATTAACGAATATTTTGGAGGACCTCTATCATAAATCATCCACAGCTACTCACGAAAGATTGTATCAGACCCACTGAACAAATAGTCAACATGCCCCATAAGGACTTTAGATCAACTATGGATCACATATATACAGTGGTCTCATAAGATTATAATGGAGCTGAAAAATTTGTATCACCTAGTGAGGTCGTAGCTGTCATAACTGTGTAGTACAACACATTACTCACTTGGTGGTGGTGGTGCTGGTGTAAATCAACCTACTGCATTGGCAGTGTTATAAAACTATAGCACATACAATTATGTATGGTAAATAAAACTTGATAATGATAATAAATGACTGTGTCACTGGTTGATGGGATATATTTTATTATTATTTTAGAATGTGTTCCTTCTGTTTATTAAAAAAAAGTTAACTGTAGAACAGTCTCAGGCAGGTCCTTCTGGAGATACCCCAGAAGAAGGCATTGTTACCAAAAGAGTTGATAACTTCATGTGTACTAATTACCCCAAAGCCCTTCCAGTGGGACAAGATGTGAAGGTAAAAGACAGTGATTCTGAAGACCGTGACCCTGTGGAGGCCTATATTTATGTGTGCTCTTGTGTCTGAAATACTAACAGTAAAAATAAAAATAAAAATTTTAAACACTGAAAAAAAGCTTTTAGAACAAGGATATAAAGAAAATATTTGGCTGGGTGCAGTGGCTCACACCTGTAATCCCAGTGCTTTGGGAGGCCAAGGCCAGCAGATTGCTTGAGGTCAGGAGTTTGAGACCAGCCTGGCCAACATGGTGAAACTGCATCTTTGCTAAAAATACAAAAAATTAGCCAGGTCTAGTGGTGCACACTTGTAATCCCAGCTATTTGGGAGATTGAGGCAGGAGAATCACTTGGACCTGGGAGGTGGAGGTTGCAGTGAGTCGAGATCATGCCACTGAACTCCAATCTAGGTGACAGAGTGAGATTCTTACTCAAAAAGAAAAAACAAAGGAAAAAGAAAATATTTTTGTACAGCTGTACAGTGTATTTGTATTTTAAGCTGTATTATTAACAGAGTAAAAAATTAAAACATTGATAAAGTAATAAAGTTACAGTAAGCTATTTAGTTTATTGAAAAAAGAAAATATTTTAATACATTGAATGTAGCCAAAGTTTACAGTGTTTATAAAGCCTAGAAGAGCATACAGTAATGTCCCAGACTTTCGTAGTCACTCACACTATTCACTCACTGACTCATCCAAAGCAACTTCCAGTCCTTTGAGTTTCATTCATAGTCAGTGCCTTATATCAATGGAAAATATTTAATCTTTTATATCATATTTTTACTGTATCTTTTCTATGTTTATATATGTTTTGCTACAAAAATACCATTGTGGGCTGGGCGTGGTGGCTCACGCCTATAATCCCAGCACTTTGGGAGGCTGAGGCGGATGGATCACGAGGTCAAGAGATCGAGACCATCCTGGTCAACATGGTGAAACCCCGTCTCTATTAAAATACAAAAATTAGCTAGACATGGTGGCTCACACCTATAGTCCTAGCAACTAGGGAGGCTGAGGCAGTAGAATTGCTTGAACCCAGGAGGTGGAGGTTGCGGTGAGCCAAGATCACGCCATTGCACTCTGGCCTGGGTAACGAGAGAAACTCCATCTCCAAAAAATAAAAACAACTTACCATGTGTTACCACTGTCTACAACATTCAGTACAGGTACATATTCATACAGGTTTGTAGCCCAGGAACAATAGGCTATCCTGTATATCCTACATGTGTAGTAGGCTGTACCATCTATGTTTCTGTAAGAATACTCTGTGGTGCTTGCACAATGACAAAATTGACTAACGATGCATCTCTCAAAAATATTCCTGTCATTCAGTAATGTGTGACTGTATTTTATATTTTTATTTACCTGAGGAAGAACATTATCTTATGTAGAAGTAGAATACAAAGGAGGCTAAATCTGTTTAATAACTCATTATTTGTGCCAAAAGTATCATCAAATTAAATGTTTAAAATCAAAGATTTCCAAATGCTACTTAATAGTTCATGCTTCATGTTTCATTCAGCAAAACTGTTGGTTACAACATCAATCAGACAAAAAAGACACATGGAATGTGTGACTTTGGGGATTCACGTTATGCATTAAAAAGATATAAAGATATAAGAAGATATTAAAGGAGATAAGAGTGCAATATAATGGGCCTGACTGATGATGATTGAGAGTTTGTTAGAATTGTGATATTAAGGCACCATGGACAGAGAATATTAGACTGCAATTTCCAATATGTACTGTCAATTGAAAGTCAAGGCTGGGCACCATAGCTCACACCCTTAATCCCAACACTTTGGGAGGCCGACGGGGGCAATCACAACGTCAGGAGTTCAAGACCAGCCTGGCAAACATGGTGAAAACCTGTCTACTAAAAATACAAAAATTAGCTGGGTATGGTGGTGGGTGCCTGTAATCCCAGCTACTCAGGAGGCTGAGGCAGGAGAATTGCTTGAAACTGGAAGGCAGAGGTTGCAGTGAGCAGAGATCACACCACTGTGCTCCATCCTGGGTGACAAGAGCTAAACTCTATCTCAAAAAATGAAAAGTCAGATGCTTTGAATTTTGGGTGCTAAATTTTGTTCTGTTTGCTTCTCTATTAGCCACTAGCCACTCCATAAAGTCTTGCTCTAGATTGAGTATCAATAAAAATTTAAGAATAATTGTACATTTTTCCCAGGAATCCATGCACTGCTTATGGACTATGATATATTCTGAGAAATGCATCATTAGGTAATTTCATTGTGTAAATATTATAGAATGTATTTAAGCAAACCTAAGATGGTATAGCCTACTGCACAGCGAGGCTATATGGTATAACCTATTGATTCTAAGCTACAAACCTGTACATAATTTTATTGTACTGAATACTGGAGGCAATTCTAACACAGTGGTAAGTATTGTGTATCTAAACTTATCTAGTTATAAAAAAGCACAGTAAAAATACAGCATTATAATCTTATGGAATCACCATTGTATTTGTGATTCTTTTTTGACTGAATGTAATGTGACACATGACTGTATACCCAGTCAATTCAAATTTTTATGAAATACCTTGAGTAGGCATTCCTTACATTTGGCATTACAAATTTCTTTTCATTGTTTACAAACAGTCTTCATTTGCAATAACTTGTAATAATTCATAATTTACCACAACTGAAATTGAATCTCTGTGCCTCACAGCTAGTGAACTGGGGTCAGCTTCTTCATCCATTTTTTCTAGTTGGAAATTCATCCCAATTTGGACTTTTATTGTTCTCTCTTTATCATCTTCCATCCAGTTACATTCATGACACGATGAAAACTTTCTTGCATTGTGAAATACTTCGCAGACAATAGTCAGCCAATAAAGCTGGTGAGCAATAAAGAGGTGGAAGAAAATAACAATTCTTATCTCTCAAATAACTTTATACATGATTTTGACTTTGTGTTTTTAGAACCATTGAGAGTCTGAAGAGACCTCTTATATTTTTTTCATTCCACATTACTGAATTTTTAAGAAAGAAATTATGTGCTATAATAGTGTTCTTGACTTGGAGAATTCTTGAAAGTCTCAAGGGGTATCCCTGGAGAATCTAAGGGTCTCCTATAACAAGATTAGATTTATGAGACACTTGTAGTTTATATGAAGTTTTCAAATTCACAGTTAATGAGGTTTCCCTGGTGGGGCCCATACAAATGAAGATGTCAGAGCAAAGTGAAGCATAAACTCCTACTGCAGTTTGGGGGTCTAATTTCATGATAATGTGGAAAGAGAGAGAGAGCAAAACATATAGCAACATTTATATCAATCTTCAGGAAAAGCAGAGTTAAAATAACTTCTTGTGGTTTTTTGTAATAGATTAAAAAATAAAGGTACTCAAAAATCTAATGATCGATTGGAAAAAGTAATGGGAGAACAATACACAAACTGTTCTTGAACCATAGTCTGATTTTCAGTGATTGCCACTGCTTTAGGGTAATTCCAGCATGCAACAACTGTCTTAGATCAATGTCATTACCAACTGCATTGTTTTGGGATATAACGTCTGAAGCAGTCAAGGAGTGGATGAGGAGAGGTATTTGTGGACTAGTGTCCCATTTAGGCCTTCTCTGAGGCTATGATATCTCTGTATAAACTTAAGAAACATTTTCTTTTATATTTTAATCTTATTGATTACAAAAGTCTGCTGCAGACATACATTTCATAACAAATTTGCCTTGTTTTAATGTTTCTTTAGTTCCATGCCAGAATTAAATGGAAGTTACTAGAGTAAAAAAAGGAAAAAATATACAGAAAATGGTTTTTACCTGATTTAGTCTCTACCTCATAGGGGTTTTATAAGTATTAAATGGGACAAAGTATGTGCAATGTCAGGTACCTAGTAAACACTCAGTAAATGTTACCAGTCATAAAGCCTTCTATTACCAATTTTCTGATACAAAATAGCTTGCACACTTTCCTATTTCTCTTTCTAAACTTAGGAGAAATCTCATGATACTCTCATTTGTTACTTCCTTAATTACATCTGATTGAACCAGATTTTAGGAATCTGTAAGTTATATGCCCTCTCTGAATGATCTATTCAATAGTAACATAATGTGAGCCACAATTTCAAGTCATATCTGTAATTAAAATTTTCCTAGTGATGATATCAAAAAAGCAAAAGGAAACAGGGAAAATTATTTGAGTGATATACTTTAGCCTGATATTTGCAAAGTATCATCAGTTTCATTGATTTACATGTAATCAATGTAAAATTATTAGAAAAAAATACTTTTTTACATTTTGAAAATCTAGTGCATATATTATACACATCTCAGTTCAGACTATCTACATTTCAAGAATTCAATAGGTACCTGGACAGTATAGATTTATATGAAGAGAAAATGAAATTTATAGTAAAGAAAATTCTCTATAGTTACGTGTTTTCTATCATTTACAAGTGGATAACTTCTTTTCTAAATAAGACAGGATCGTGATAAGTAAGGAGAGTAGCAAAGTTAAAACAAAGACTGTTTTTGTTTGTTTTTGTTTAAAGTCACTTCTAATTATAACCTACTTTATTATGCGAAAGCCTAGATTTAGGCAGAAACACTTGTCTCAAACAGGCATTAATTCTTTGGGGTATTCAAAATTAACTTTTTTTTAAAGGATGGTGTTAGTTAATCAAGTTATAGCCACAACACAAATCTTGATTTTTGGTGATTCAATGAGATAATGCCCACAAGAGCATTCTGTTAGTTATAAAGCACTATAAAATGCATAGTGAGGTGGAAGACAGTGTGGTGATTTCTCAAGGATCTAGAAATAGAAATTCCATTTGACCCAGCAATCCCATTACTGGGCATATACTCAAAGAACTATAAATCGTTTTACTATAAAGGCACATGCACATGTATGTTCATTGCAGCCCTGTGTGCAATAGCAAAGACCTGGAACCAACCCAAATGCCCATCAATGATAGGCTGGACAAAGAAAATGTAGTTCATATATACCATGGAATACTATGCAGCCATAAAAAACGATGAGTTCATGTCCTTTGTAGGGACTTGGATGAATCTGGAAACCATCATTCTCAGCAAACTGACACAAGAACAGAAAGCCAAACACCACATGTTCTCACTCACAAGTGGGTATTGAACAATGAGAACACAGGGACTCAGGGAGAGGAGCATCACACACTGGGAACAGTTGTCAGGGGGATGGGGAGGGATGACATGGGGAGAAATGACAGATACAGTATGCACCTAAAATTAAGTAAATAAATTTTAAAAATGCATAGTGAGGATCAAGACCATTTTTATCACCTAGAGAGTTATAGGTGAGTGCACTTAAAATATAATGCTTTCCCTTTCCTTTCTAAATGGACTTCCCGTGTACAAGTTATTCATAGAAATCAGACACATTCTTTTCTTTCTTAAACTCTTAGGTCTAAAGTCAATAGCTAAAAGGATAAACCCAGGTTGGGATTAATTTTTCAAAGAGAATACTTAAAAGCATTCCCTTTGTCTTTCCTTTCATTTCCCCAATCCAATTATTTCATACTTACACAATGGTTGTTTGGGTCTCCAATTAGCTATCTTTTTTTCAGTGCAGATAAATAGCTGATTAGATCTTTCTTTGATTTTTATGAAGTTTAGTAGACAACACTGAATGTTTATTTCTTCCATGTACATAACCTAGAAATGCTTAGAACAATGGCAGCAAGAACAGGTAACAGAGAGGAGATGATAGAACTGAGAAATTAAAGCAAGGTCAATGCCAATTCCATAGGCTGATTATAGTTTTCACTGCATTATGAGTATTAAAAACTGTTTAGACTGACTAGAGGAAATGATGGGGATGGTGACAGTTATTTTAATTAGAGTGGCCAGGGAATGAAGTGAACAAGACTATGATGTCTACTTCTGAGAGAAGAACCTTTCCAGACAGAGGGAACTGACAGTGCAATGGCCTTGAAGTAAGAAGTTTCTTGTCATGGCTGGAATAGAGACGACTGGTAGTATAGTTTATCTAAGAGTTGGCAGAGAGCCAGAATGCATAAGGAATGATAAGCGCTTTAGATTTCTTTTCTAAATAAGACAGGATGCCAATAGAGGATTTTGTTTTTGTTTTTGTTATTCTTTCAGTTGTGGTAAGAAGATATTAGATCTATCATTGTAACAAATTTTTACCTGTACAATATAATATTGTTGAATACAGGTACAATATGGTATAGAATATCTTTACAGCTTATTCACCTCCCTTGACTGAAACTTAATTTGTCACTCCTCATTTCACTCTCTTCCCACCTGGCAACCACCATTCCACTCTTGGATTCTATAAATTTGCCAAGTTTTAGATACTTCATATAATAGAATGATAAAATATTTATCTTTCTATGTCTAGCATATTTCAGTTAGCATAATATTTTGCAGTTCATACGTTTTGCCACATATTGCAGAATTTCCTTCTTTTTTTTTTTTTGAAAGGAGAGAAGGAAAGAAAGAAAAAAAAGGAGTGAAGGAAAGGAAGAAAGGAAGAAAAAGAGGGAGAGAGAATGGGAATATTGCTTTATTCTAAAAATGGGTCTTAATAATGGCCAATCAATATTTTGTGTATTTAAAGTGGAGAGCTCTATAAATATTTATTAAGTTTACTTGTTCCGGATCTGAGTTCAAGTCCTGGATGTCCTTATTAATTTTCTGTCTTGTTGAGTCTAAATCTCTTTATGGGTCTTATGTATCTGGGTGTTAGAATGATAAAAATGGTCTTGATCCTCACTATGCATTTTTAAAATTTATTTATTTAATTTTAGGTGCATACTGTATCTGTCATTTCTCCCCATGTGATCCCTCCCCATCCCCCTGACAACTGCTCCCAGGGTGAGATGCTCCTCTCCCTGAGACAATGTGTTCTCATTGTTCAACACCCACCTGTGAGTGAGAACATGTGGTGTTTGGCTTTCTGTACTTGTGTCAGTTAGCTCTTATTGTTGCATTGATCCTTTTACCACTATATCTTTGTTGCTTTGAAATCTATTTTATCAGATGCAAGAATTGCAACTCCTGCTTTTTATTTATTTATTTATTTATTTATTTTTGCTCTCCATTTGGTTGGTAAATCTTTCTCCATTCCTTTGTTTTGAGTCTTTGTGTATCTTTGGCTATGAAATGGGTCTGGATGTACCACACCATTGGGTTTTGGCTGTATCTTTTGATTGGGGGATTTAGTTGACTCAAATTTAGGGTTACTGCCATTTGATGTTAACTGGCTGTTTTATCCATTTGTTGATGTAAATTCTTCTTTATGTTGATGCTTTTTACTTTTTAGCATATTTTTAGAAAGGCTAAAATATATTAGCCTTTCTAATATATTTTATTAGATTGTTGGTTGTTCCTTTCTATGTATAATGCTTCTTTCAGAAGCTCTTGTAAAGCAAGCCTGGTGGTAATAAAATCTCTGAGTACTTGCTTGTTCATAAAAGATTTTATTTTTTCTTCAATTGTGATGCTTAGTTTGGCAGGATATGAAATTCTGGGCTGAAAGTTCTGTTCTTTAAGGAAGTTGAATATTGGCCCCCACTCTCTTCTGGCTTGTAGGTTTTCTGCTGAGAGATCTGCTGTAGGTCTAATAGGCTTCCCTTTGTGGGTAACCTGACCTTTCTCTCTGGCTGCCCTTAGTATTTTCTCCTTTGTTACAACCCTGGTGAATCTAACGATTATGTGCCTTGGGGTTGCTCTTGAGGAATATCTTCGTGGTGTTCTCTGTATTACCTGGGGTTGAATATTGTCCTGCTTTGCTAGATTGGGAAAGTTTTCCTGAATAATATCCTGAAGAGTATTGTCCAGCTTGGATTCATTCTCTCTGTCACATTCAGGTACACCTATCAAATGTAAATTAGGTCTTTTCATATAGTCCCATAGTTTTTGGAGACTTTGCTCATTCCTTTTTATCCTTTTTTCTCTATTCTTGTCTTCTCATTTTATTTCATTAAATTGATCTTCGACCTCTGATATCCTTTCTTCTGCTTGATCAATTCGGCTATTCAAACCTATGCATATTTCACTAAGTTCTCGTGTTGTGTTTTTTAACTCCATTAGTTCATTTATATTCCTCTCTATATTGTCTATTCTTGTTAGCATTTTGTCAAACCTTTTTTAAAAGTTCTTAGTTTCTTTACATTGGGTTAGAACAAGTTTTTTTAACTCCCAGAAATTTCTTATCATCCACCTTCTGAAGCCTACTTATGTTAATGGAACACAGTCCTTCTCCATCAGGGCTTGTTCCGTTGCTGATGAGGAACTGTAATCCCCTGTATAGGGAGAGGGGTTCTGATTTTGGGTATTCTCAGCCTTTTTAGGCTGGTTTCTTCCCTTTGTTATAAATTTATCCATCTGTCATCTTTACAATTACCACCTTTCTAATTAGGTTTCTGAGTGGACGTCCAGTTTATTGATTCCCAGTGCTGGAATCCGAGCAACCCACTGCACTGGCCAAAACAGCAGCAATAAGACTGGTGGCGCTCTTCTGCCCGGGAATCTCCAGTCTGGCTTCCTTCTTGAGTCCGTAATAAGCGGCTCTGCCTTCCCGGAGCTCCAAACATCGGTCAGAAAGGGAACCAGTCCCGTTTACTCTGCATGAAGAGCTGCCTCACCGAGATGCCAGCAAAAACCGCTGCGCTGGCCACAAGAGTGGCGCTGGCGACCCATGGGGCTCCTCCACTTGGAATCTTCTGGTCCATAAGCGATGAAAATTCATCTGAAAGTGTGGCGTCCTCTCGTTCTCTGCACTTTCCCTGGGAGCTGCAATCCTGAGCTGTTAGCGATCAGCCATCTTGGAATTTTTTTTTTTTTTTTACACATTTATTTAGAAAAGCAACATACAGTAATAGGTATTTCAGAGAATGAAACGAAGTGTAAAGAGAAATACAAAAGACACTTAGGAGTGGATTTTACCGTAACTGACTAGGGGAACTCTGGTGCCAGGAAGTTCACAAGTCTGTGACCACCGCTGCAGCTATGGCCAGTTCTGTGGACTGACGTTATGCTGTGATTCATTGTTCTTTCATTTAACAAATGTGACAGGGACTGGGCTGGGGACGCACAGGAACAAATGGGTCTCTCTGCCCATGGGAGCTCAGATCTAACAGTGAGACAGAGGTGCAAACAGCTAGCAAGGGACAGTGTAGGTAGTGCCACCAAGGTGCAGGCTCAGGGTGCTATGGGGACCTGCAAGGCCACCAGACTGAGCTTTGGGTAGCTGGGAAGGCTTCCTGGAGGAGGTGAGGCCAGAGGTGGGTAAGCCTGGGCCAGGCACGAGGCAGGCCTCTCAGCTCCCGTGTGTGGTTCCTCAATACCCTGTGTGCAGGCCCCTCAGCTGACCTGTCTTCTGTGAAATTCTCTATCCCACTGTCTGTTCTATTCACACTGTGCTTTGACTTGGTGGTCGGCTTTCAGGAACCTACATCTTATACTCCAAAACTTGGCTGCTGTTTCCTGGGAGGTTCTTTTTTTTTGAGATGGAGTCTCACTCTGTCACCCAGGCTGGAATGCAGTGGTGCAATCTCGGCTCACTACGACACTTCCTGGGTTCAAGCAATTCTCCTGCCTCATCCTCTCTCTAGTAGCTGGGATCACAGATGCACGCCACCACGCCCGGCTAGTTTTTGTATTTTTAGTAGAGACGGGTTTCACCATGTTGGCCAGGCTGGGCCTCAAACTTCTGACCTCATGTGATCCGCCTGCCTCGGCCTCCCTAGGTGCTGGAATTACAGGCATGAGCCACTGCACCCAGCCTTGGAGGTTCTCTTACGCTTGGTGTTTTTCATGGCACCTGTGACTATGCTTTGGATGGAGCAGCTGCCCACCTGACCCTGGCTGGGCCCAAGACCATCAGCCCTTCTCCAGTACCTGGCTGAGGCAGGATGAGGTGGGTGTTTGCCGTGGGTGAAAAGGGGCCAAAGACACTGAAATGAAAGCCACAGAAACCACACCCATGAGGCTGTTGCCTGGGCAGAGGGCTCAGAATACTTCCTAAGTGGAGAAAGTCAAAGCACATAGCAACTGTCTCAAGGGCACAGTCACGTGAAGGAAAGCAAGAAACAAGTATGCTGCTGTAACCCCACACTAGACAACAGGGCACACCCTCCCTCCCTCGGTGGAACTCCCTGGGGACCCGCGGTGGCTCAGTTAAAGGTGTTGCGGAAGCTGCGCTCCTGCTCCTTGCGCCGGGCCTCACACACCTTGATCACCTCCTCCACCTTCCTCTGCAGCAGGGCGGAGTTCTGGTTGATCCACTGCAGTGAGTCCATGTGCGCGTTGAGGAGCTTGCAGATCTCCTGCAGCAGGTCGCTGGTGTCGGCAGGGGACCCCAGATGTGTTCAGGTGCTCGATGATGGCCTTGAGGTCCTGGGCCATGAGCTTCAGCTGCGCGCCCATGTTCTCAGCCAGCTCGTAGGTCTTCTCGCACTCCTTGTCCGCGTCCTGCAGGTAGATGGTCCCGCTTTGCTCCTTGACCAGCTCCTCCAGAGGGCTCAGCAGGTCTTCCAGCTCCTTCTGCTGGGACAGGATGAAGTCGAGCTCCTGGTCCAGCCTCTTCTGGTCCAGCTTCACCTTCTCCACCTCTTGGTGCAGTCTGGTGATCTTCTCCCTGTTCTCAATCAGCGTGCGGTCCCAGGCGTTGACCTGGGTGGCCAGCTGGAAGAAGTGCCACTCCTGGTCCTTCAGCGCCAGGCTCCATTTGTTGATCAGGCTCTCTAGCTGTGCGTAGGTCATGGCAGAGGTGGTGGCCACCCCTGCGGGGGCACCAGGTCCAGGTGGAGCAGTCATGGCGGCTGCCGTATTGCTGGAGATCCCGGCTGGCACCAGTGGTTTTAAATTCAAGGCAAAGCCGGTGCTGCCGGTGCTGCTGCTGCTGCTGGTGCTACTGGTGGTGGTGGTGGCAGCAGTGGATGTTGTTGTGGAGGTGCCGGAAGCTGCTCCAGGTGCCTTTAAGATGAAGCCCAGTGTCCCAGTAGCAGGGGCTCCTGCTGTGGTCGCAAGGGTACAGAGGGAGAGGCCGGTGGTGGCGGACGAGGTTGGAATGGTTGCTATTGAGGCGAAGAGGGTGGGCCCAGCACTGGTGGTGGTGCCAGTCGGTGTGGGCACAGCTGGCTGAGTGGCGCCTGCTGTGGTGGCTGCTGGCGTGGCCGGAGTGAAGGACAACCTGGCAGGTGCCGTGGGCTGGGCTGAATTCCCCACTGAGCCAATGTTGAAACCAGAGGTTTGGGCCGTGCTTCCACCAGTGAACAAGAACCCTCCGGATGTGGTGGCTGGAGCCACTGAGGTGGTGGAGGGGCCAAACACAAAGCCAGTGGGTGCTGTGCCCTGGCTGGAGGTGGCAGTGCTCGGCATGGCATTAGTGAGGCTGCCGCTGCCCAGCCCAAAGCCACTGGGGTTTGCCATGGCTGGGGTGGCAGCTGCATTGCTCAGGTTTAGCTTTGAAACACCGGTCCACAAAGAAAATCCAGTTCCCCCCGAAGCAGGAGTTGCTGTTCCAAAACTAAAGCCCGGCGTCTGTGTGGCCGGAGTCTGGGTGGCAAGTGAGAACAGGCTGGTGGAAGGCGTACTTGCGGCTGGTTGGGAGGGAGCCCCAAAATTAAACCCTCCGGTGCCAGAGGTGGAGAAAGAAAACCCCGTGGCAGCTGTGGTTGTTGCTGTCTTCGCGGTGCCAAACGTGAACCCGCCTGTAGCGACCCCAGTGCCTTCAAAATAAAACTCGCTCATGGCTCCAGACTCTGATGGCGGCAGCTACTCCGGCTCCGAAAGCAAATCGGTTGGTGCCTGCAACCTTGGGAAGATTTCTTTTTTCTGCAGCTGAGGCCACCGCTGCCTCTTCCTGCCGCAGTCATGGAGTGAGTAACCGCTCGCCTCTCCCTGTCCAACCGCCTTTCCGGCGCTTTCGCAGCTCGTGGCCCTCTTTAGGAAGCCCTGGGGGTGGGGAACCACGGGCAGAGAATCCAGGAAATTTCCTTCTTTTTTAGGAAATTCCAGGAATTTCTTTCTTTTTTAAGAAATCTGAATAGTATTCCCTTGTATGTATAGAGTACATTTTCTTTATCCATTCCTCAATCAGTAGACATTTAGGGTGTTTCCACATCTTGATTTTTGTGAATACAACTGCAGTGAATATAGAAGTGCTCCTATCTCTTTGAGATACTGATTTCAGTACTTCTGGATAAAAAACTCACAAGTGGGATTGCTGGCTCATACGGTAGTTCTATTTTTAATTTTTTGAGAGCCTCCATATTGTTTTCATAATGGCTGTGCTATTGGTACCCTGAGTTCTTGTAATCTCCCAGGATGGAAATGAAGAGAGATCACCAGATATACCAGCAGAGAGAAAGAGAAAGATTTATTTCACTTGTGCACAAGGAAGTCAGTGCTGCAAAAAGAAAAGGGTGGGTTGCTCCCTGAGAGTAGTATGTGTGTTAGTTTTATAGGTCCTTTCTGTAAGGAAGGGTTTCTCTAGTGCTTGCGCAGGAGCTTTATGTACTTCCTCATTCATTGCATGGAACATTAGCATTTTAAATTTCCACCCCTTGGCATGATTTTTAGCATTAAAATGAGGAAGGGGTAATGGTAAGTTGAAGTTCAAGTCTATCTGCACATGTGGAGCTCCTGGGAAGTCCCTAGCCCTCTAAAGCAGGAACTTGTAATTAATAGCTTCTTGGGTCTTTATTTGCTGATTGGCTAGAAGTTAGGTAATCTATAGCTTGAGTAAGGGCCATTAGTTCTTTTTCTCTAAACCACATCAAAACCAGAAGCCTGCCAGCTTGCCTGCCTCAGCTGTACCTTTGCATTTCCAGAGTGTGCCAGCATTCCCTTTTCTTCACATCCTTGCCAACACTTGTCTTTTGATTTCTTTGGCAATAACCATCCTGACAGGTGTGAGGTGCTGTCTCACTGTGGTTATAATTTGCATTTCCTTGTATGTTTTCTTGAGAGAAATGTCTCCTTAACTCCTTAGTCCATTTTTAATCAGGTTTTTTTGGGGATATTAACCCTAACCAGGTATATTATTTGCAAATATTTTCTCCCATTCCATAGGTTGTCTTATTATTTTGTCAATTGTTTCCTTTGTTGTGCAGAAGTTTTTTAGTTTGATGTAGACTCCTTTATTTTTTGTTGCCTGTACCTTTGGTGTCATATACATGAAATAATTGCTAAGACCAATGTCAGTAAGCTTTTCTAATATGGTTTATTCTAGGAGTTTTACAGCTTCAGGTCTTACATTTATGTCTAGAAGAATTTAAATTTTTTTTCTCTCTTTTTAGAGACAGGGTCTCACTCTGCCATACAGGATGGAATGCAGTGGCATGACCATAGGTCACTGCAACCTTTAACTCCTGGGCCCAAACAATTCTCCTGCCTCAGCCTCTCGAGTACCTAGGACTGCAGGCTTGTACCACCATGCCTGGCTGGTTTTTAAATTTTTGTAGAGATAGAGTATTGCTATGTTTTCCCAGCCATTCTTGAACTCCTAGCTTCAAGTAACCCCCTCATCCAAGCTTCCCAAAATGATGGGATTACAGGTTGAGCCACTATGCTGAGCTTGGAAGATTGTAAATTGTTAAAATTATCATACTACCCCACATTAAATACAGATTTAATGTAATACCTATCAAAATTTCAATGGAAGTTTATACAAAAATGGAAAAAAAATAATTCTGAAATTCATGTGAAGCCATGAAAGCCATAAAAAGTCAAATTACTATTGAGAAAGAATGAGCTGGATGCACCATATTTCCTGATTTTAAAATATGTTACAAAACTACAGTAATCAAAACAGTATGGCATTGTCATAAAGGCAGACATATAACCCAATGGAACAGAACAGAATACAAAGTCCAAAAGTAAATTTACATATATGTGGTCAAATTATCTTTGATAAGATTGACAAGAATATACAAGGAGGGAGAATTATCTGTTCAACAAATAGTGTTGAGAAAACTAGAAATCCACATGAAAAAAAAACCCCAAAAACCATAGAAATTCGATTCTTACCTTATACCATATGTAAATGTTTAGTCAAAATGAATGAGAAACATGGACATAAGACTTGACACCATAAAAATCATCGGGTTTTCAGTTCGGAAGCTACATAATCTAATTAACATTTTGAAATAATTCCTTTGGTTACCCTGTGAATGAGAGATTATAAAGGGAAAGAGAGAGAGAGAGAAAGGGGGGGTGGGAGAGAGAGAGAAAAGAAAGAAAAAGAAAGAAAGAAAAAAGAAAGAAGAAAAGAAAGGAAGGAAAGAAGGAGCATATGAAAACCCTTTTAAATAATCCTGTGAAGAGGGAGTGGTGACTTGGACCAGGGATCTAGATGTGATGAGATGTGGTTACATGCTAGATGTTTTTTAAGACAAAGTCAACATAATTCAGTGATGAACAAATGTGAGATAAAGGGTTGAGGCTGACTCCAAGGTTAACATACAGAGATGGGAGAACAAATTTTCCACTTATTGCAATGGGGAAATCTGGCATGTAAATATGTTTGAGGAGGAGTGAAAAATTAAGTTTTTGAAATATTAAATTTGAAATTAAATGTTCCTACCCTTTTAACATCCAACATCACCCTTGGAGGATAGTTGAATATATTTAATTTATATGAATCCAGTGATTAGGGAAGAGGTTACAGATAAGATGTATATTTTGTTATCAGCCTACATATGTATGACTATGGACCAAGAAAACCTCAAAATTTTGAGAGCATTGTGCTGTGTTCTAAAAGTTTAATAATGATAAATATAAAATTTTCTTATAATCAAACCTCTTTATTTAAAAGTATTACTTCATTCCCCCATATAAATTTATACTTAATTAGCAAACTCCTCTTCATTACTAATTAAAATAAAGATACTCTTCTTGAATTCTGAAAATACAACCAAATTCTGTATGAAATACACAGCCATTTCAAAATAGAGTATCTAATATGACTATCTCATAGTATAATTCTTTCCAGACTTCTTGACATCTCCAGCGTTGAGTTCTTTTGTTGGTTAATTATTTCATAAGTTCATAAAGTATGCATAATACTGTACCAATTACCTAAGTATCTGGCTTAAATTATACAACTTTGGATTCAAAAGTCTTGTAAACTTTTATTACAATTCTGATTGTGTTACTTGCTCAATAAAGAAACAGTTTCTTTTTCACAAAATGATCCAATAATTTTTTCTTTCTTTCATGAGTGATTACCTGTATCACCTGCAGTTCATTCATTTTTCTATATACTCTAAACATTTTTGTATTAACTCATGCAATTAGAAATCTTCATATTCATACACATATTTATATAGTTGCCTTCTTGTAAAAAATTTTTTACTTTTTTCGGCTTTAATGTTACATCTTTGGCTTACATTAAGTGACTTTTTATTCATCTTTCTTCTGTACGGAACTTGACATTTCTGCCTTTCTTTTTTCCATTCAAGAAATATGTACTAAGCACCTGTGAGGCATTAGGGCTATTCATTTATTGTAGTATTACATATTTATAATATATATTTTTACAATGTAATTGTTAAGGAATGGGTTTTTCATTATTACAAAGTGTTTTCATAAATTTTTCCAATTAAGCCATGTTTCTCTAAGAAGTTGATCTCTTTGTGGGTCATGATTAATACTAGTGTAGCAATTGAAAATATATTTCCTCTTTTGGGATACTAGGAAGTTCATAACCCAATTTACAGTCCAACCCTATCAACCATAAAATATCTTACAATTTGATATTTGTATACTCCCTCCTTTTAAATTATATCTTATTTTTATTTTATTCTTTTTTGTTGTTGTTGTTGAGATGGAGTTTCATTCTTCTTACCCAGGCTGGAGTGCAATGGCATGATCTCGGCTCACCATAGCCTCCTCCTCCTGGGTTCAGGCAATTCTCCTACCTCAGCCTCCCGAGTAGCTGGGACTACAGGCAGGCACCACCATGCCCAGCTAATTTTTGTATTTTTAGTAAAGACGGTGTTTCACCATGTTGACCAGGATGGCCTTGATCTCTTGACCTCGTGATCCACCCGCCTCAGCCTCCCAAAGTGCTGGGATTACAGGCCTGAGCCACCATGCCTGGCCTATTCTTAATTATTAATATTTGTAATCTGTTAATTTTATGTATAATTATTAACCAATTAAAATCTCTTTTGTAATGAACATGTATAAGTATATAAATATATATATTGTTAAATATATATAGTTACATACCTATATGTGTATTTATATATAACATATACCTGTGTGTGTGTGTCTATATATATACACATATATACATATTTGTAGGGGAATATAATTTTTTTTATATTTTTTATTGCATTTTAGGTTTTGGGGTACATGAGCAGAGCATGCAAGACAGTTGCATAGGTACACACATGGCAGTGTATTTTGCTTCCTTTCTCCCCTTCACCCACATTTGGCATTTCTTCCCAGGTTATCCCTCCCCACCTCTCCCTCCCACTGGCCCTCCCCTTTTCCCCCCAATAGCCCCCAGTGTTTAGTACTCCCCTCCCTGTGGCCATGTGTTCTCATTTTTTATCACCCGCCTATGAGTGAGAATATGCGGTGTTTCATTTTCTGTTCTTGTGTCAGTTTGCTGAGGATTATGTTCTCCAGATTCATCCATGTCCCTACAAACGACACGAACTCATCATTTCTGATTGCTGCATAATATTCCATGGTGTATATGTGCCACATTTTTCCAATCCAGTCTATTATCAATGGGCATTTGGGTTGATTCCAGATCTTTGCTATTGTAAACAGTGCTGCAATGAACATTCGTGTACATGTGTCCTTATAGTAGAACGATTTATAGTCCTTTGGATATATACCCAGTAATGGCATTGCTGGGTCAAATGGAGTTTCTATGTCTAAGGCCTTGAGGAATCACCACACTGTCTTCAACAATGGCTGAACTAATTTACACTCCCACCAACAGTGTAAAAGTGT